TATCATCTGCAAAAAGGGATAATTTGATCTCTTCTTTTTCCAATTATTACTTTTCTGGTAGAATTTTTGCCATCTCTTAGATATAAGATCATATCATCTGCAAAAAGGGACAATTTGATGTCTTCTTTTCCAATTTTTTACTTCTTTAATTTCCTGGTTTTGACTTAATGCTCTTGCAAGAGTTTCAAGCACTATGTTAAAGAGGACTGGACACAGTGGACAACCTTGTCTGGTTCCTGATTTCAATGGGAATGCTTCCAGTTTTTCTCCATTTAGAATGATGTTGGCTGTGGGTTGGTTATATATGGCTTTAATTATGTTGAATTATGTTTCCTCCAGTCCAGTTCCCTCTAGGACTTTGAACATAAATGCATGTTGAATTTTGTCAAAGGCCTTCTCTGCATCTATTGAGATGACCATGTGGTTCTTGTTTTTGAACCCATTTGTATGATTTATGATGTTCATTGACATACGTTCATTGAACCTTCCCTGCATCTCTGGGATAAAGCCGACTTAATCATGGTGGATAATCTTTTTGATGTGTGCCTGTATGCAGTTTGCTTGTTGAGAATTTTTGCGTCTATGTTCATTAAGGATACGGGTCTATAGCTTTCTTTTTTGGCTGTATCTTTACCTGGCTTTGGTATCAGAGTGATGCTGGCTTCATAGAAGGAATTTTGAAGTTCTCCCTCCATTTCTATCTTTTTAAATAAAGTAGTATTGGATGTAGCTCTTCTTTAAATGTCAGGTAGAATTCTGCTGTAAATCCATCTGGTCCTGGGCTTTTATTAGTCAGGAGGTTTTGTATTACTGTTTCAATTTCCTTATGTGTTGTGGGTCTGTTTAAGGTGTTGGTCCCTTCTTGGTTTAGTTTTGATGGTCCCCATGCTTCTAGGTACCCGTCCATTTCTTTTAGGTTTTCAAATTTAGTAGCATATAAGTTTTTAAAGTATTCCCTTATAATGTTCTGGCTCTTTTTGGTGTCTGTTGAGATGTTTCCCCTTTCATCTCTGATTTTGTTGATTTGGATTTGCTCTTTCTCTGTTTCAGTTAGCTGGGCTAGTGGTCTATCAATCTTGTTTATCTTTTTGAAGAACCAGCTCTTGGATTCATTGAGTCTTTGTATTGTTTTCATTGTTTCTATTTCATTGATTTCTGCTCTGGTTTTTGTTATTTCTTCTTGTCTGCTGGGTTTGGGTTGCATTTGTTGTTGCTTTCAAGTGTGTTCAGTTGCAATGTCAAGCCATTTATTTGTGTTCTTTCCGATTTTTTGATGTAGGCACTTAGAGCTCTAAACTTCCCTCTAAGGATCATGTAACCAGTTTTAGCATGTCCCAGAGGTTTTGTTGTGTTGTATTGTCCTTTTCATTTAGTTCCAGGAATACTTTTATTTCTTTCTTAATTCCTCCTTTGGCCCATTCATCATTCAGGAGTATGTTGTTTAATGTCCATGTGTTCATGTGGTTACTAGGGTTTCTTCTGATGTTCATTTTAAGCTTTATTGCATTGTGTTCTGATAGAATGCATGGGATTATTTCAGTCTTTTTGTATTTGTTGAGGTTTGTTTTGTGCCCCAGTATGTGGTCGGTTTTGGAGAAGGTTCCATTGGGCAGTGAATAGAAAGTATATTCTTTGGTGCTTGGGTAGACTACTCAGTAGATATCTATTAGGTCCATTTGATATATGGTATTGTTTAATTCAGATGTCTCTCTGTTAACTCTCTGCCCTGTTGACCTATCTAATGGAGACAGTGGAGTATTGAAGTCCCCTACTCTTAGTGAGTTGGGATTCATCTGGGTCTTAAAGTCCTATAGTACTTTTTTAATGATGTTGGGTGCATCTGCATTTCATGAGAATATGTTCATGATTGCAGTATCTTCTTGGTTTATTGTTCCTTTGATCAGAATGAAGTGGCCATCCTTATCTCTTCTGATTAGTTTTAGTTTAAAGTCTCTTTTATCGAATATTAGAATTGCAATGCCTGCTTTTTTCTTAGTACCATTCCCTTGGTATATTTTTTTCCCATCCTTTCACCTTAAGGTAGTGCCTGTCCTTGAAAGTGAGATTAGTTTCTTGCAGACAACAAAAAGATGGATTTTGTTTCTTTTTTTTGTTTGTTTGTTTGTTTTTGGTCTTTTTGAGACAGGGGCTCCCTGTAGCCCCAGCTGTCCTGGAACTCACTATGTAGACCAGGTTGGGCTTGAACTCACAGAGATCCTCCTGCCTCTGCCTCCTGCCTCCTGAGTGCTGGGATTAAAGGCGTGGGCCACTACACCTGGCTGGGTTTTGTTTCTTAATCTATTCAACTAGTCTGTGTCTTTTGACCGGGGAGTTCAGTCCATTGATATTTAAAGTTATTAATGAAAGATGTGTATTGAATCCTGTCATTTTTATTTCTGTTCACATTCTTGATATAGCTGTGCATTTCCACAGTTAGACCTTCATTGAATTTCTTTCCATCACCCCTTGTGTATAGTCGATCCTTTCTTCAGCTCTTTGTATTGCTTCAGGAACTCTCTGAAGGGCTGGTTTTGTGGACATGAATTCTTTCTGCCTATTTATGTCATGGAAGATTTTTCTTTCCCTTTTGACTATAATAGACATTTTGGCTGGGTAAAGTAATCTGGGTTGGCATCTGTGGTCATTTAGAACTGGGAATACTTTGGTCCAGGCTCTTCTGGCTTTCATAGTTTGCATTGAAAAGTCAGCTGTGATCCTAATGGGTTTTCCTTTATATGTGACTTGTTTTTCTTAGCAGCTTTCAGTATTGTCTCTTTGTTCTGTACATTTTGTGTTTTTACTATGATGTGCTGTGGAGATTTTCTTTTCTGGTTCTGTCTATTTGGTGTCTTATATGCTTCTTGTATTTGTATGGGCATGTCTTTCTTTAATTTGGGGAAACTTTCTTGTACAATTCTGTTGAAGATCTGGTCCATACCATTATCTTGAGATTCTTCTCCTTCCTGTATGCCTATGATTCATAAGTTTGGTTTTTTTATGGCGTCACACAATTCCTGCATATTCCGTTCTTGTGTTTTCTTAAATTTTTCATAATCTTTGCTTGCATGGTCTAATTTGCCCACTTTATATTCCAGTCTTGATAGTCTGTTTTCCATTTCATTCATCCTATTGGTGAGGCTTTGTCCTGTCATTTCTAATTGGCTTACTGAGTGTTTCACTTTCCTTCATTTCAGCCTGAGTATTCTTCAATATTTCTAACTCTTTTCTGAATTCAGTTTATCCCTATCTTCTTTCAGTTCTTTGATTTGTTTGTGTGTTCTTTAAAAATCACTGAATTGTAGTATCATGTTTATAATTGTTCT